CTGATTGGCTGGGCGGATTGCAAACAACGGCCCGTTAAAACTCTTAAAAGTTTTGTGAAGCCGCCATTGTATTTGCTGGAATTAGCATCATTAGCATTAGCCCCACGCACAAACGCAGAGAGACTAACTTATGGCAACACAAAAGAAAACATGGGAGCGGTGGAGATGAGGAGGTGTCGGCGTTCTGGCGATTTACTCGGAAGGCTTCAGTAGAAGCCAGTCCCCAACTCGGGGGACTTCCGCCGGGGACTTCCAGCCGGGGACTTCGGGTGGCAGTATACGCCGTGAAGTTGTTTGCGGCCTGCCAGTAAACCCAAAGCAGAAGAAGAAGAATTGACGTCAGCGGCTTGATTTGCGTAATCTTCCCTCAGGGACTTATTCCGGTGTGCTTTGGGTTTACTGGCAGGCCACAAACAAATTCACGGCGTATACTGCCACCCGAAGTCCCCGGCCGGAAGTCCCCGGAGTTGGGGACTGGCTTCTCCCCAGGATAGTCCCACCTCTCTAGCAGGCACTACAAATGTGGGTAAAAGTTTTCTTTTTGGTGTGAACGCAAAATTCCAGGCACTATCGGAATAAAACGGGAATAGTACGGGTAAAAGTACTCCGGTGTGAACGCGCCTATTGGTTTCAAAAGTCTGGTATGATTACTGTTCAAAACAAAGCCACCCTTCTTTCTAACGACATCATCACTACACGTTTGTCTCTGGTAATGTTTCATGCTCCTAATGTTGTTGTGTGGACACGTTGCAGTACCATATGCTTCTTCGATGAGGCTGCAGTAGGGGTTGACCCCGCTGCCGCTGTTGTCCTGCTTGGCTTCCTGCTCTCCCAGCCTCAGGATGTTCTCCAGCCCGTTCAGAGCAACCTGAACGATCTTAGAGTCCATCACCGTCAGCAGGTCACACAGCGGCTTAATGCAGCCCAGGTTCACCAGGTATCTAAACACAAACACAACACACCATTACATTTAATGACAATGCTAAAGATGGGGATGTTCAAAGATAAACAGAAAGGCTGAGGTCGAGCACCACCCGACTAAAGAACAATTTTTTCCACCAGGCTGTCTGAAGGCTGAACTCTCTCCCCTCCCTCCCCCCACTGGACTTTAACACCCCCACACACTCAAATCCAAACCCTTTTTACGCTGCTATGGACAATATTGCAATAATGCACATTCGATGGACAATCTGCACTAATGTGCCTTCTCAAAATATTGAAGTGACTGTTTTTGATTTTTATGTTTTTATTTAGGTCTTAATGGAAGATTGACAATAAAGTTGACTTTGAAAAAAAAAAAACTTTCTCTTAAAGCGTGACTTTAAGCATTTTTTTAGTAAGTCTTTTATCTAAAAGATAAAGATTTGTATTTCCTTTTAGTTGAAACTGAACAAAGAGTCAGGCAATATCACCTACATCGTGTCATTAGAGGGGATGATGTAATATATATTGACTCCAAGTCTGACCTGATCTGTTCTGGTGTTCCTCCGGACGTTGCGTTGGTGATGGCCCAGGCCGCCTCTTTCCTGGTTCTGAATTCAGCTTTCTGTAGGATGTCGATCAGCACTGGGAAGATGTTGGCATCAATGACCGTCTGTAGGACAGGAGAAGTTATAAAATCAGGAACACATCTCTAAAAAGCAGCTTCAGCATTGCTCAAACATTGATGTTATTATTATTAAATAGTATAACAACCACAGCAAACATGGTTGAGGGGGAAAGGGTCAGATAATGAGGTTGGTGTGTGTGTGTGTGTGTGTGTGTGTGTGTGTGTGTGTGTGTGTGTGTGTGTGTGTGTGTGTGTGTGTGTGTGTGTGTGTGTGTGTGTGTGCGTGCATCACCTGTATTTGTGCTCGGTTTCCTGCGGTGATGTTTGAGATGGTCCAGCAGGCCTCTTTGCGGATGGACTCTTTAGCGCTGCTGAGGAGGTGCAGCAGACAGGGCAGGGCGGAGCAGTTCAACACCACCTGTAACAGAGAGGGGTTGAAACGTGTTTATAAAAAAGGTTTACAATTAAGCATGAAAACCAAATGAAAATGAATACAGATATCTGAAAAGGGAAAATTAAACACCTGTTCAACAGAAGCCCCAAGGAAGTGCGCCGGACTCTGAGGAAAATATTAGTGGTGGCCAAACGGCGGTACTACACTTTCGTATCAGTCGCTGGGCCCAGAAAGACTTTTTCCCATTGACTAACATTGGGAAAGTGACGTCTGTAAATCGTTGGATAATTTTTTTTAAACTACACAGTATGAACATTTGTATAGCCCTTGTTAAAAACATTCGGTCCTCAAGTTGTAAAATGTGCTAATAACGTTATTCTGAGAGTTATTTTCCTCTGCATTATGAACGCGGATCTGAGAGTGGGAGCTCCTGGAGCGGGGCTTAGGGGCAACTCGACTTCGCATGCTCTGTGAGCGCACATACAGGTACTTCTGCTCTGACAGCCAGGCATGACGGGTAATCTGCGACGTTTCGCTCTCAAAAGTTGGGCCATTTTGCCTTCATGCGCCAATGAGCAGCTCTCATAGGAAAGAACGAGACCCCGCCTCCCAGGCTGTATCCAGTTCTTATTATACATCCATGGATCACATCAACTTGGCTCGGTTGCTTGCCGATTTACTGACTGACATTCTAGCTGTTTTTGTCAGGGAATTGAACCGCTATTCAGGGAAAAGGATCTCCCGCATAATTTTGGCGGAAAGTTATCTGAGTGGGAAGCCTATCTGGCAAGAGAAAATACACTATAATCTACTTTGAATTAAATAAAATATAAAAATGTATCATATAAATAATCTGATTCTGATAAATGGTTATATTTGACTTAATTTGACCATGGCTGCCCCTTTTGAAGTTACCACCACCAGTTTTTTTTTAATAAATGGTGCTTCAATTCCACAGATGTATCCCACATGATGACATTTCAAAATCTGAATTTACCCTTTATTTAAAAGTAATACTCTCATCACTCTCACGTCTTGTTGTATATTCACAAACACCAAGAATGAGAATTATGTACTGAACCATAAACTCTCACCTGTGTTTGAATGTCGTCTCCAGTGACGATGTTTCCTACAGCTCTCAAAGCAGGCGAGGCCACCTTGTAGTCCGTGTGCCTGCAGAAACAAATTGTAAGTACAGTGCATGACATTAAGGATTTTGGGAGATGGCCCTGTGGGCCATCTAAGCTAATTTACAGATGGCCCTGAGCCCAATAGAGATTGCCCTGAAAAATGCGTGCGGACGAAATGCCACGAAGGGTTTGGGGGGCCTCCCCCTAGAACATTTAGATTTTTGCAGGTCTTAGATGCTGTCTGGTGCATTCTCTAGACTGAATTATAAGATGAACCAGCACAATATTATATTGTACAATTTCAATTTTATTCTTCATTTCACTTGTTTGTTTGTTCTTGTTTGTGTTTGCTCGCTTACATGCCCTACATAGCTATAAGAAATACTTAAGTTGTTGGTCAAGACACTTTCCCTTCATCAGATGTAAAAAAGTAGAAAACATTATTTTCAGTTGTAACTGCCAAAACAAACATTATTTACACTATTATGGCCCCTGTTAAAAATGTTTGTAATGTTATCTACTGTAAGTTGGTCGAACGAATGCCTCCTCATCCGGAAGCTGACCGAGCAGACCCGAGCAGCAGTCGAGAGGAGCCGAGCGCATCCGCGAAGCACACAAAATGGCGACGTCAGCGTTCCCGTTAGCCGGCAAATCTAAATCTCTTCGGTCAAAATAATTTCCCTTTAGCGCAATACCGCTTCAGTTGCGCCACTTATGTGACAGACAAGAAGAGTATGTGACAGACAAGAATAGTAAATTATAATGTCTAACCTATGTGTCTAACACGTAATGTGGAGAAAGAGATGTCCTGTATGGGTTGATTGTGCGTTGATCTGTTGGTAATGCCTCGGGGTTCCGGTGGGCATGT